GACCAAAATGCTGGCTTGCATCCATAGATGCTTCTCAAGCAAATCCCGGGACGTCATTCTCCCCCTGTACTCGGCCTTAGTGAGGCCGCAGCTGGAGTACTGTGTCCAGTTTTGGGCTCCACAATTCAAAAAGGATGTGGAGAAGCTTGAGAGAGTCCAGAGAAGAGCCACGCGCATGATCAGAGGTCAGGGAAGCAGACCCTACGATGACAGGCTGAGAGCCCTGGGGCTCTTTAGCCTGAAAAAGCGCAGGCTCAGGGGTGATCTGATGGCCACCTACAAGTTTATCAGGGGTGACCACCAGCATCTGGGGGAACGTTTGTTCACCAGAGCGCCCCAAGGGATGACGAGGTCGAATGGTCACAAACTATTTCAAGATCGTTTCAGGCTGGACATAAGGAAGAATTTCTTTACTGTCCGAGCCCCCAAGGTCTGGAACAGCCTGCCACCGGAGGTGGTTCAAGCGCCTTCATTGAACACCTTCAAGATGAAACTGGATGCTTATCTTGCTGGGATCCTATGACCCCAGCTGACTTCCTGCCCTTTGGGCGGGAGGCTGGACTCGATGATCTTCCGAGGTCCCTTCCAGCCCTGATGTCTATGAAAATCTATGAAATCTATGAAAAAGTGGGAGTCAGCTCGCGGCGGCAAAACTGGAAGTGCCACAGTGGGACTTCCAGTTTCGCTTTTGCTACGTCGATTGGCAAGGGGTATGTAAGGTACCAAAGGTTGAAAACCACTGCAATAGAAGACAGATTCAGTTCTTACTCCACAGAGTTCTCTGCTTTCTTGGTAGAGCATCCTCCCATTTTACCCTGCTTTGAGAACTCCTGGTTTTTGACAAGGCCTTGAGTCAATAACTGTCTTCTTTGCTGCTGGGAAAAACTGCAAATAAATCAATTTGCTAGACAATCAAAGTGCTTCAAAGATGGCCAAAGAATTTACCATTGAATAAAGTGAGTTCCTAGATCCCTCCAAGTTGAGCATGTTCTTCCATAGCCAGTGACACACAGCAGTTACTGGGATTTCAAGACAAGTGTCAAGAAGCAAGTCACTTGGAGGAAAAAGGGCCAGAGGTATCAGCCAGTTAGCAGATATTTTTAATACTGGTAGACACTGTACATGAACTGCTCGTTGCAAATGTTTGATACATTAGCTATGGCAAAATGAGTGTTTTCCAACCCCTGGTCATTCACTGTCTTGGTTGTCTAGTTAGTACTGGATACAGGTTGAGTTTTTCAAAGTCCCCTATGGTTTCTGATATACCTCCCATTCATTATACCTCCAATGGGAGTTATGTCTCTAAAACAGGAGTTGGGTATGGAAATCATCCAGTTTGTTTTGAAATTCTCAGTGATATAGTATACAAACATATATGCTGCATACCTTGAACTTGCAAATCTATACCAGCAAAAGGAGTGAAAGATGGGGAATGAGGAAATGAATTCATGTTCCCTGTATAGTAACTACAGCCTCTGAAGATCAGTGGACTGTCTTGTCCAGCGAATTCAGAGCCTAAAAAAGCTATACGAGAGAGAAAAAGTACAAGCATCTCTGGAGAAATAGCTATTAGAACTTTTCGGAGAGACGTCTCTTAAAAGTTTTCAAAGACAGCTGTATTTTTAAAGTTTTGACAAATTGCAAGAAGTGCTGGAATTTTTTGTATTATTTATGCTCATTCATTATACTGTTAATTAGAATTTGTCAAAGAAACTGTATAAGTAACAGTGACCAGAAATGGCAAAAAGAATACACTAACTTTTCTTCCACAAAACTTTAACTTTAACAATCACCAGGAACAAACAGAGGCCCACTGGCTGCCCTCAATCAATCCAAGTCCCTTGGGCTAACACTTGAACTCAACCATCTGCATAACAGGAGGAGGTGGACAGCCTGCATGAACAATCCTTCCAATTTATTCAATGATTCCCCCAACCCCACCCCCACCAATGGTCAGATATTTTTCCATTTTTTTTTACCCAGTTTTCTTTTTTTTTTTTACCCAGTTTTATTGCACAGTATTTTTCCTATGATTTCCTCTTTAACTTAGAATTTCTTCATACTGTAGTACCTATTCTTCTCTATTCCATTTTGTCAGATAAAAAGACATTAAACTGGAATTAAGGCAGTACTCTAAAGGTAAAAACATTACATAATCCCCAAACTAAGCACTATAAATCCAAGAAATTCAGAAAAACTGTGGAACTGGAAAGAAACCTAAGCAACTTATGAAGAAGTGGAAATCCACAGTTAAAGCACCCATAA